GCTGAGTTTGGGGTTTAGGGTTTACGGCCCACCTTAAAGCTTAGGAATCTGGGTTTAGGGTTCAGGAATTTTTCAAGGGGTTTAAGGTTTAGGACCCACCTTAGAGGATTAGGAATTATGCTTTGGGGTGTAGGGTTTAGGCTTGAGTTTCAGGTTTAGTTTAGGGTTTAGCGTTTAGGGCCCACCTTAGAGGGTTTGGCGATTTTGGGGATCCGGCTTCCGCTACAGGGTCCTGCTTAAAGGATCATGGGACTTAGCTTAGTAACTAGGGTTACAATTAGGGTAACTATACTTATAACCCCAATTGAGGTACGAATAACCTTACTTACTAAGTCCCATGATCCTCCAAGTAAGGGTTTTGGGTTGCAACAACAGGAATAACAGCAGCAACAACAGCAACAGAAGCAGCAAAAACAACAATGCAAGGCCGAACCAAGACAAGAACCCCGACAGCTCAAACCGGCTTTGAGCCACACCGAAGATGTCAGGCGCAACAGGCTTCAAAGCAGCAACCCTAAACCCTAGGCCCTAAACCCCATACCCCAAACCCTAAACCCCCAAAACTATCTCCTAGATAAACCCTAAACCTCAAACCCTAAATCCTATACAAACCCTAAACCCTAAATCCTGCATCCTGAATCCTGAATCCTAAACCTTAAATCTCCAACCCTAAAGTGTGTGCCACCGAAGGGCTGTCCCCAATTCTGATCTGCAGGGCTTCTCCCAAATCTCAGCCTCGAGCTGGGGGTGGACACTTCGCTCGGGAGCTCCGGGGATAGTTGGGGCCTTGCGAACTTAGGGGACCCTTTAAGGGCTCCTTTAAGGGATCTATATGGGTTCTATTATAAGGGTATAGGGTTTGGGGTTGGGAGTTTCCCAAAACAGGGCACCCTAATTTAGTACCGTAAATAGTAGGATCCTTATTATAAGGACCCCCAAATAAGGTACCCCGAATTTTCGGAAACTCCCATTTAAAGATCATGGGACTTAGCAACTGGGTCTCAAAAGGGTTCCTTAAAGCCATCTACAAGGGTTCTATAAGGGGGGGTTTAGGGTCGGGGTGTCTGGGCTTACGGTCTATAGGGTTTCGTATGGGGTTTGGGAGTTGGGTCAGATTTAGGGTTCGTAATGGGGTTTGAGGCTTTGGGTGGAGGTTGTCCAAGATTTAGGGTTTGAAGGAGGGTTGGGTTTTGGTGTTCAGGGTAGGGATTGACATGGTGTTTGGGGTTTTGCCTTAGCCTGATAGTTTTAGCATGTGGAGGATCAAAGCACCTGCCAGTTACTTGGAGGATCATGGGACTTAGTAAGTAAGGTTATAAGTACCTTACTTGAGCAAAAAGTAGCTATAAGTATAGCTACCCAAATTATGACCCTAGTGACTAAGTCCCATGATCCTTTAAGTATCCGACGGCATCAGTAGATGGCCCAAGTGCTTACTGAGGAAGAGGATTGCACCCACTTGGTGCACATACATAAGAAATCACGAACAGACTCACGGCCGGCTGGTGCCAGGGAGATCCACACGACTGTCCGCATAGGGCAAACGCGTCAACAAGAGAGGAGTCAAACAACAAACGCATATCATATGAGTGATGTTTTCGCCCTCTAAACTATTGATTGTTGACCTTTGGGGCCCATAACTTATGTCCCTGAATAATCAGAGTACCTGTGTTCCTACTATTCAACTTTCATAAGGGAAAAAGGTGTGGTGTACTACAGGGAAACCCGGCCTTACGTAACGACCCTTGAATCCCGAAACCCTGAACCCCCAAACCCTAAATCCCTAAACCCCTAACGGCTCTAAACCCTACACTGTAGCCCTTAATTCCTATAAACCTGAAAGCCTAAACCCTAAATTTTAACCCCTAAACCCTGAACCCCCAAATCCTTTCCTAAATCCCTGAACCCAAAAAACCTTAAAGCCTAAACGGAGCATTTCACTGTTCCTCCATATAGCACTCCATTAGTTTACTTGAAGCATCACGAGACATAGCAGCTAGGGTTCCCTAAAGCGTTCTGTAAAGAGCTGTATAAAGCATGTCCTTAAGGGGTTCTTTACAATGATCCATAAGGTTTCTAGACGGGGGGGGGGTTGGGGTGGCTCAAAGTATTATGGCGCTTAGGAACCAGGGTTATAAACAAGTGACTATACTTGTAACTGCTTGTAACCCTAAGTAAGGTACTCAGAACCTTACTGACTAAGCCCCATGATCCTCCGAGTAGGGTTAAGGGGTTTAGGCCAAATTTTGGCCAAAGCCTAGGTCAATCCTGAACCTAGGCCCCCCAAAAAGCACATAGGCCAAAATGAGGATAGGGACATCTCATTTAAATCCCCTTGTAAAGAAGCCCAATAAGGTGGGGATATCCCTATAAAATGTTTATGCTTATGTCCTTTTTGGGTCTCTGACAGCCGTATCCTGGAACCCAGCACGTCGTCCTCACAAATCACGCTGCATCCGGGCGTCGAAACGACGGAGCCCCGCAAGAGGCCGGACACGCTCCGGCCATTACCTAATATAGGGGCCTTACCAACTAGAACAGGGCTTCAAGCAGTCTTGGTAATTACTTAAGACCCTATAGTAGTAAAACTCGAGTATGGTTTCAGGGCAAATTGCACCATACTTATACTAGGAGCTATGCTGGCATGCTATGGGAAACTATTCCGACCTCGCTACTAGCTTTTTGCACTGCCTAAAGTTAATTGTTGCAAGTTCGGCGTGGGGTTCTGGTGTAGGGATCTAATGTAGGAACCCGATCAAGAAACCCTGGCCTTTAAACCCCAAATAGTAGGATTCATATATAAGGAACCCCAATAAGGACCCAAGGATTCTTAATCAGGTTCCTACATTAAACGAAATCCATAGGGTTTACGTTGTTTGCGTCTTCATCATTCGGATTCGAACGGGTCGCGGTTATAGTAGAAGCCAGAGAGGATTAGTGCTAGGATCCCTTATACTTTACCTTAAGGACATGAGGACAATGATGTTCGAAGATTCTGGCTTCTACTAGAGTCTTGAGGCCTTAATCATTGCAAGCGGTTTTGGGAATATACTGCGAAAGAACTTTTAATAAGGAGCCCTAAGGAGCAATGTCTGTAACTAACTATGCTACTCTTAAATTACCGTTGCCAGGGGATTGTTGTGCAGAAACAAGTAAGCGCACTCAGGATGAATGACAAAAAACAACTACGTATTTCGTCTGATGCCTGCATCCTGAACGAGTGCGGCTTCCCACAAGAAAACATGACATTTCATGTTGTGCTAATGTAGGAAGCTGATTAAGAAACCTCAGGCCTTTATTAGGGTTCCTTATATGGACCCTACTATTTTGGGGTTATCGGCCCAGGGCTTCTAAATCAGGTTCCTAAATTGTAAACCCTGAACCCTTTGAACCCCAAAGCCCTAGAACCCCTAAACTTGAAACCTCAAACCATGTTGTGCTATCCATGCCTCTGGGTTCAGATCAGGTTTCGGCCAAGATGCTCGAGGTCACATTGACCTCCTCGGCCAGGTTGTTTCCTCGAGTTGTCATAGGAACCCCCACCAAAAAAGTACCCAAACAAGAACCAGAAGGGTGGGACATCCCATAAGCCCCTCTTTCAGCACTCAGTAAGCCAAGAAGGCAGGGCTATCCCACCTAACAGTTGATGTTTGCGTGCTCTTCTGGCTCCTGGTTGACGGGCATATGCCATTTATATAGGGAGTGATGACATGGCTCGAAGTTCGGCTAAAGGCTCATGCACAGACTTTTCGGGAGCCTGTGTAACATCCTACCTCAGTCGCGGGGGTGCTCTTGTAAAGTTGGGTTTCATGCCTGACTAGACCCAAGAGTAACCTAGGAATAAAAGGGTGCCCTTTTTGGGATAAAGGGGATTATAAGGGAACCTAAACCCTTAAAAAGGGAATAAGGGCCTACTCTGGGTCCTAGAGGTGGTCAGGATGCCTGACCCAAAGGCTCCATGTACCTTTATAGTAGATACTTAAGCCCCAAAGTAGTCCCTGTATAGGTACTTTAAGGCCTAAGTATATGCTATATGGGCACATGGAGCCTTAGGGTGAGGTGGTCAGGATGCCCCCACTTGCGAGCAAATGGTGCACCCATGTTCCTGCTCGATAGACTCAGAGCCTCTCCTGAACCATCGTCTTAAAGTAAAAGCCAGAAAGTTGGAATATGATTATCCTAAACCCTTTATGGTAAATTATAACATATCCCACCCTGAAACCATATTCCAACTTTATGGAGTTCCCTTTAAGCCCCGGAGCCGTGCGGCCCTGGCCCTACAGCGCATCCACACCGTTAAAGCTCCGTCTAGCACGAACAACCGGAACATTTGGGCTGTGATTCTAAAGGATTTTCATGTCATACGAAATACATAGGATAACATTCAAAGACTTCTGGTGTTCACACTAACCAGAATCCTAAAATCGAGGGAACTGCTGGAGGCTGATCAAGAGATGTCGCAAGCAGGAAGTGACGGAAGTGAGCAAAAAGGACACAAGTGACCCCTTCTGATACCTGCGCAGAATACGAGTTGAACTCCCTGATCCCAATTACCATAAGAAGCCCGATAAGCCCCCGTCCCGATAGTCCCCATACAAAAACTTCCGCTTCCTTCACACAAGGTGGTTCTAGAGTTCTAGATGTCGTTACTGTTGAAGAGGGAAGTAGAATGACAAGGTGACATCAATACCTACAGGAAGCCCTAAACCCTAAACCCTAAACCCCTAAACCCTAAACCCCTAAACCCTAAACCCTAAACCCCTATAGGAAGAATCCTGATCCCCGAACCCCATACTGACGCTCAGAATCAGAATTCGCTAACGGCAACGCGGACGAGGCACCCAGCGTCAGGAGCTGCAGGGCTACCTGTGCCGTACAGTCAAGGGTACGGCAGCAGCCAGTGGCAGGCACTTTAAGATAATGGCAGAGGTCCGCAGCAGTCACAGCAGTCGTTGCAGAGATCGTCATCATATCCTCACCGTCAGCGTATATAATTGTTTTCATGTCTTATACAGCACCATAGTGATGGTCTTCATCACAGCTCCAACTTTCTCCATCATCACAGCCAACATCCCTGTCGCCAACGTCATCATGACAATGCAGTTAGTTGAAGCATTATCTTCTCCGATGTAGGAACTACTGCCGCCGAAGGCTTCAACATCAAAACCTTGATCTAAGAAGTAGAATGGGTTTGGGGTCTTCTATCATAATAAGGCTGTACAGGGATTACAAGGGCAAAATGCTGCTAAACCCTGACAAGCTAAACCATAAATATGAAGACCGTCGCATCAGCAAGAGCACCAAACTCACAAACCTCAGACCTGAAAGCATCCTAAACTCGTAATCCTACTAGGGTATCGGGTTCTAGAGGTTAGGGTGTTCAAACGAAGGCCCAAAGACACGAAGACCTCTGCAGCGGGCGCATCTGCCGCGAGGGAGGGTATGCTGCTGGAGATCTGCTGCCAGTCCTTCCCGGCGGCGATTAGAGCTTGCTTGGACCCTTAAGATATCTACCCTTTTGTAATTTCCTTTTATAGGTCCTTAAAAAGGCAGGTTCTTCGGGAGTCAAGCTAGGGTTTTAGGATTTAGGGTTTACGGCCGTGTACCTACCAGTGCCCCTCTTGGGGCCCCTGGTCATAATGTCATTACAGAGGTCCTTAAGACGAAACTTCTTCAGAGTCCAAGCAAGTACTTAAAGGATCATGGGACTTAGTAACTAGGGCTATAATTAGGGTAAATATACTTACAACTACTTATAACCCCAATCAAGGTACTTATAACCTTACTTACTAAGTCCCATGATCCTCCAAGTAGGCCCTAAACCCTTATAGATCCCATCATAGGAACCCTTATAGATCCCTTTTAAAGGAACCCTAAACCGAGGAAGGTGACCTGACATGCTTCCTGTAAAGACTGCCATTAAAGGGTTATTGTAAAGGGTATCATAAGACTTTAAGTAGAGGGGTTTATGCAAAGTAAGGTAAGACAGCTTAGGGTTCAAGGACCTAGGAACTTGGGCTTAAAAGCACATAAATTGAGGCAGCTTAGCGATCACCTAGTGGCTCATACCCTACCTCTGTTTAGGGCGCCTAGGTATCCAAAAAAGGGGTAGGGTATCGAAATTGGGCTTAGGATTTGGGGATTAGGGCCAGTTTAGGGCTGTAAGACTTAAGGCTTCAGGGTTCAGGATTGCGGCTGGAGAGATCTCCGCCGTAGACTTGAGGTGCAAACGACGAAGACGAAGGCTGACTCTTACCCTAAGGCTCCTAAAAGGCTTAGGGGCTTTGTGGGCGAGGGTTTGGGCTTTGGGGGCTAAGGTTTAGGATCTCACTACGAGGGTCCAGGAACATTAGGGTACTACCCTAAACCCGAACCCCTGAAACGTAAAACCCAAAGCCCTGAATCCTAAGCCCAAAACCCTAACCCCCAACCTCAAAACATTGGCCATAAACCCTGAACCCCAAACCCTCTTGACCCCGTAGCAATGCGTGTGACCATCCACGCGACCACGCATGAGGAAGAAGAACAAAACTCACGATGATACGGCTGACGGATAGGATCCTGCCGTACCATAGCGACCTGCAGATATGTATAGACTTATGATATTCTCCTTAATGTCCTGTGTTTACTACCTGGTGCAGAACTTTAATGGCCATCGTCAGTATCATGTGCAGATGATGACCGTGATGAGGGTTGTCACATGGTGACTCTCATGAAGTCTGTTGCTTAAGTAACACACGGTATAGGGTTTAGTGTGTTTTGTTGTTCTCCGCTTTGTGACTGCCCGATCTGTCTCCAGACAAGCACTCCCGGATGTAGGTAGGGTTCTTGACTGCGCACGGGCCCGAGACGGAACCCTGGGACTAGTTTAAGGCCAAAGTATATACGATTTGGGTACATGGACCCTCAGGGTTACAGAACCCCAAAGTTAATACGTGTACTAGGCTCCCCAGTAATTAGCCCCTTAATAATAGGGCTACCCTTTTTTAGGAAACCAAAAAGAAAAAGGGCAAAAGGGTGCTACTGGGAACCTAGTGTAAAAGGAACCCCAAACCTTACATACTAAGCCGAAGAACAGGGATTCAAGCTCCGATTCGCTGGCAGGGGGATGGGAAATAGCAAGCAGCTTACAAACAATAGTTCGGATGGAAGTAGCTTTGCTTGAAAAACTGCGCATGAACCCATTTCTGCCCTTCAAGTCGTGCTATCTGAAATGCATAACCAAGGGACGAGCCGTCCCACAGCAAGTTGCTCCAGCACGACATCCACCAGTTTGTTGAACTTCTGGTTGCCGCCTACGGATTGCAAGGCTTTACAGGATTAGGGGCGAAGTGTTTCATCCTAACCCCTGCAACGTTGCAAAGGGGTGGGGCAGGTCTTAGTAATTAGTAATCACGACATATCTATGTCCGTACGTATGTACGTATGCCTGCACGTGCAAAAGAACGCGATATATATATATATATATATATATATATAAACTCAACTACTCGTTGTTGCGTATATTCCATACGGAACTTGACTACATCAGGCTGAGAAATCGAACTCTGAAGTACCTAATGTCCCACAGACTCCAAAACCCCTGAAATAAACAAATAGTTAAGTTTTAAAGGGGAACCCCAATATGGTTTGAGGGATACTCCTTAGATTAAGGGATTTTGGAGTCTTTGAAGTCTTATGTTTTGGAATGAACTATGAAGTTCGAAGCTTCGCTGAACCCGATTCCCTCCAAAGGGCTGCAAATCATAACCCAAAGGGTCCCAAGTATCTGTATGGGGGAAACTTACCCAAGCCGTAATGTAATAGCAGTTCCTACTAAAGGAACACCTACTTTCTAGCACGTAGGTACATAGTACCCCTATATTATACTACCCTTATAGATCCCTTCTAGTAACCCTTAAAGGAACCCTTTAAAGGAACGCAAGGGATCTGGGGTCTGGGGGTCTGATACCCTTTACTGGCTGTGGCCTTGCCTTCCTCCGCAAGGAGGTCTGCAATCCTTTGAACCTGCAGAACTTCAATCAGGGGTTGAGGGTTTTGAGTCTAGGGTTTTAGGGTCGAGGGTTATAGGGTTATAGGGTTTAGGGTCTCAAGGTTTAGGGCCAAGTTCAGGGCTTCAGCAGATCACATCGGGTGATTGAAGGGTTCAGGGGTTTAGGATAAGACAGCTTACCTATAGTCTCCGTTGTAGTTCCTTTTTGGTTAACCAGTTTTATGGTTAGGACCCTATAACAGAGATTTTGATTAACAAAAAAGGAACTACAATGGAAACTATAGGTAAGCACTACAAGCCCTCGACACGCCACAGCCTAAACCCTCAAAGCCCAAAGCAAGGCGCACTCAACCCCAAAACCAAAACCCTAACCCCAGAGACAGTAGGCCCTCACCCTTACCGTAACCCTCCCCAGCTCCCTATATACCCTAAACGGCCCTAAACGTTATCTTAGCCCTAAACCGAAAATGGGATCCCAAACCCATTGCTGCAAGGGTTCGACCGAATATTTAAGAGGTCATAACCTACAAGTTCATAGGGTTTGAGCCTACAGGCTAACACTAAGCAACCCCTGGAAACCTACATCCCAAAGGCTCCATGTACCCATATAGCAGGAACTTAGGCCTTAAAGTACCTATATAGGGACACCTTTGAGGCCTAGGTACTTACTATATGGGTACACGGAGCCTTTGGGCATCTGAAGCAACATCGCCGCCAAAGGTCGCACATCGCGAAACTCCTCGACCCCCTAACCCCAAAATCCTCGACCCTAAAGCGAAATCCAAAACCTAGACCCCTGATAGTACCCCTTCCACCGTAAAACCGCATGTAGAACCCTTTAGACTAAAGGAACCCTAGCCGCTAAACTCCCTAAACCCTCAACTCGAACGCCCCCTCTAAACTCTAAAACTCTAAAGAAAGCCTCAACGCTGAAAGCTCTAAAAGAAACCCAACCCAAAGGGTCCAACTAGCAGTATAGTAATTAATTAAATACTATATCCCTACTCGTCTAAAGGGCCGGTGAAACGAGGCGGTTCACAACCTTCAGGTTTAACCGGGCGGTTGCGTCAAAGGGTCTTTTTTAAGGTTCGTGCAAACCCTCACTTGAAAGCATCAGAATCTAGCTTTTTTCGTCCATCATCGCTCGCATCATCCTTCCATTCCAGCTCAGGATGTCTCCTTGGGTGCTGAAATGATGCAATAGTCGGACTACTTTCGGAGCAAAAACATATCTGAAACTCCGAAAATCATATGCAGACAAGCATCGGAGCGAGTCATCATCGCTTCCAACCCTTGTCACGAACCTTCCTAAGTTGCAAGAATCCCACAAGAAACGGCTTTGAAGTGGCTCCAAATCAGTTTATCCGGGCTTCCGAGTGAGCCGACGCTTCGCTGAAAGCATCTTCACTCGGCTCATCCGCAGAACCCATCTCGCCATAGCAGCAGGCTTTCGTGGTGCCTTGAGGCATATGCCTGCCAGTCGTCTCGACAAGCTTGCTCATGATGCCGACACTGTTCCCTTATATTGTAATACAATGAAAATCCACTGGGGACCCGGGCGCTTTAGCCATCCCATAGCATCTTCACCGGAGAAATTATGCGAATATCTCGTGTTGTATCCTGATCAGTTAAAACAGAAGCATGGCTACAGGTTGGAGTACTGGAATGTTCCATATAGACGCTGAAGCCAAGCTGCTCCAGCAATGGCTCTGTCGCAGAAGATGCAACATAGCCTCAGATGTTTGTAAGTCACCCAGGTTCTCAAGCACATCCCACATGGCAGAACACAGCTATTGTGACGAGGGTCATGGAATTTTGGCTTCAGAATCCAAGCCACAATTCCCAGCCTCAGCATCGTCATGTGATTGTAAATTAGGGATGTACTGGAACATGCATAGCATGCCGTGTATTATAGGTGTAGTGCAAGTAACCGAGCCGATATCTGCGTCAGCTTCAAGTGGCAATCGAGAAAAGTTGTGCCAGCATCTCGAATAGCATCGGCCTGCGAAGGTGTCCTGGGCAGTGATTAAACTTGGTTCAGAATTATCCGGGAATATTCAGGGCTTATTAACAGAAGTGTTCTGATTCGAGGATAAACCATAATTAACCCGACCAGATCAGGTTCCCAACGGGACCTAGTTGGAAAAGGTTTCTGAAGGAAACCAGAATATAATGAACCGACTTAAAACACACACACACACACACACACACACAAGCTTCTGAAGAATGCTATGGCGGCACAAATATCGGCCGGCACGCTCGCAGAGGCCGAACCAGTCTGCAAATGCAGCCCTGGGGTCCGATTATTCGGTTCTTATTAGAGTTCTATTTGCGATCAAGGTATTAGGGTAGCTTATAATTATATAGGTGATTTACAAATGATCCACAGATGCTATTCAGCTGGGTCACAGAGCCTTTGCATGAAGGTGAATCTTTGAAGTAGCAGGGGCCGTGCTGCAAGCATCCCGGCAACGATTGGCTAACCAGAGCAGGATCACCCGTGCATTGTAAGCCTTCGTACTGAAGTAGTACCCATGTTCCTTCTTGTACAGCTTTCGAGCTTCAAAAGTTTTCTGGCTGCATGGGATGCGCTGGTGTAGCCTCCATGCCCGAAATTCAGCATAAGCCTTGAGTAGCAGATCCTTCAATTCGGTTGTATCAGGATTGCCGAAATGGCCCTCATATATGAGAGCTTCCCTTGGCTGCGGGTTCAGGGCTTAAGGCATGGGATTGACAAGTACAGGATTTATTGTTATAACGGTACTAGCTAGATTATAGGGATTTCAGACTAGAGGGTTCACCAGGTTCCCAAAGGGAAATTGCAATAAAAACAAAACCATTGGACTATGAAGCCATTAGCACCGAAACTACCAAGCCTCCATCATACGACCCTGGAATACTAATGTAAAACCCACCTCCTGAACAATATGTGTCAGTCACAGGTCAGTGCCCCACCATTGGCCGTCAAAACCAATCCCAGGTTGCAGACATGCATGCTGCAAAACTTGACCATTGAGATATCGAAACCTCTGAGTAGCAGAAGGGGGCCTCAGATGACGAGCCCAGGTTACAAGAAAAAGACCTATAGCATATGCCTTTCCGAATATATGAAGAAAACATGGGATAAGCTGGATACATGGCTTCATGAATTTAGCTGGAATTCTCAAGTTGCCAGGACGAACTGCAGTAGCTATGAAGCCAGGGGTAGAAAACTCAGAGGCGATCCACGGGGCCCCACGGCTTGTATCATAATACCGCAAGTTGGTATCCTAAGTGGCTGGCAAAGCCCATGATATGAATGTAGACGATACCACAATTTAAAAAAACATGTATACTGAAATGAACAAGAATCCTGCGCCTCTGCCTTGCACAGAAAGCAACATTTTGTGCTGACAGGCGTGTGCTGTAGTCTTAGCACACGTTCATGCCACTTCCAATCGCCTTTGAGTTCGGCACAGGCGTACTTGCAGCCGCCTGCGAAGATCTGTCCTGCAAGCTTCTGCTTGGATGGTGGCAGTTCCTCGCCAGCAGCATTGCACGAAGGGTACTTTCCCTGGAAGGCCACGTTGCAGCTCCACACGATATGGCGTAGCACAGGCACCAGGGTCCTTAAGCCATCATGTATCATCACTGCGTCTTGCATAGCAAAGATAAGGAATTCACGGTACTTTGCCATCTTTGGTTTGAATAGTGTCAGGGATACATATATACCAGTCACTTTATCTTTCGGCTCGCCCAAACTGCATTCATCTCCGTAGAGACTGAAAGGAATGTGGTCATCTCCACCAGGGAAATTCAGGGCATGCGGATTGCCACATTGTTTCATGTGCTGCCAATATTCATTGGCTTTGCCTGGTGGGCAAACCAGGTCCAGGTTGCTGTGCAGGTAATCTAGAAGCTCATGCACGTCTAAAACTGGCACCGTGGTTTCAACTTCCTTCAGTGTGCCATCGACCTTTTCATAGATAGGTACAACCACATCTGTCGGTACCTCGGCAATGGCTGGGAACCGGGTAAACTAAAGCTAGTTCGCACTGCACAGCTTAGGCACCAGAGGGCAGCCCCCATAGAAAGTGCAACATCCACTCTCAAATAACAAAGGCCTGGGAGCAAGTGGCAGCTGGACGTGCTTGAAGAAATTTCTTGCACAGTTTCGATTGCCGGAGCTATAGCTCATAAGCCCAGACATAATCTTCCCCTTGAACTTTCGGCCAGCCTCCTCGCAACTGAATCGTAGTAAAGGGACAAGTCATGATTTGTTCGGATATCATGTTCCCCAGGCACCTGATAGCTTGCTCGCGCATTCTCCATAGCACCCCCAACAGAAGAAGCCTGAGATCAGGTTCATGTTTCTTCAGCTCAGGATTAGATGGTGGTGCTTCTTCGGCCACAAGGGTTATATCTGGCAGCATGGCTTACATTACAATCCTGATGAAAGCCAAGTGTCACCACTGGATACTCGATCCAACATGTTTTGCAGAAGCCCATCGGCATTGTCTCCATCATGTTCTGAACCTGGCACTACAGATAAAATCACAGCTTGTAGAACGACATGCTGGCAGCTTGGATCACAGGATGCATGCAGATTCCTGTCAATATGTTTCTTCACAAAGGGCATGGTGAACACTAGCGATACTGAGGCCATCGGCCAGGAACATGAAAACACGTTGCACCCAACACGGCCTAATGCCTTAAAGCTTCTTCGCCGTGTCTACCCCTTGACACACCTGCTGGCATGATAGCTGGTGTGTTTCTTGTTACGTAGGATGTGGCTAAAGCACTGCGCCAGCCCAGGTGTGTCATCCCAGCAACACAGCTGCAGAAGCCAGACAATGCCCCCAACTCCCAGAATCGGCTCTTTGAAGGAGGGATTGCTTCAGTGACTGAGATCTTATTGAAGTTTATTTAAGGTGAATTCAATTATATAAGGATAGCTAAAACCACAGGTCATATGACGGTTTACACCTAAACTGGGAGCCAGGCTGTTGCAGGCAAGTGCAGTGGCACACATCAT